GGAGGAGGATGGAGTTGTATGGAGGAGGATGGAGTTGTTTGGAGGAGGAAGGCATTGTGTGGAGAGGGATGGAGTTGTGTGAAGGAGGATGGAGTTGTGTGGAGGGGGATGGAGTTGTGTGGAGGGGGTTGGAGTTGTGTGGAGGAGGATGGAGCTGTGTGGAGGAAGATTGAGTTGTGCGGAGAAAGAATGGAGTTGCTTGGAGGAAGAATGAGTTGTTTGAAGCAGGATGGAGTTGTGTGGAGGAGGATGGAGTTGTGTGGAGGAGGATGGAGTTGTGTGGATGAGGATAGAGTTCTGTGGAGGAGGATGGAGTTGTGGAGGGGGATGGAGTTGTGTGGAGGAGGATGGAGTTGTGTGGATGAGGATAGAGTTCTGTGGAGGAGGATGGAGTTGGGGAGGGGGATGGAGTTGTGTGGAGGAGGATGGAGTTGTGTGGAGGAGGATAGAGTTCTGTGGAGGAGGATGGAGTTGTGGAGGGGGATGGAGTTGTGTGGAGGGGGATGGAGTTGTGTGGAGGAGGATGGAGTTGTGGATGGGGATGGAGTTGTGTGGAGGAGGATGGAGTTGTGGAGGGGGATGGAGTTGTGGAGGGGGATGGAGTTGTGTGGAGGGGGATCGAGTTGTGTGGAGGGGGATGGAGTTGTGTGGAGGAGGATGGAGTTGTGTGGAGGAGGATGGAGTTGTGGAGGGGGATGGAGTTGTGTGGAGGAGGATGGAGTTGTGTGGAGGAGGATGGAGTTGTGTGGAGGAGGATGGAGTTGTGGAGGGGGATGGAGTTGTGTGGAGGAGGATGGAGTTGTGTGGAGGAGGATGGAGTTGTGTGGAGGAGGATGGGGTTGTGTGGAGGAGGATGGAGTTTTGTGGAGGAGGAAGGAGTTGTGTGGAGGAGGATGGAGTTGTGTGGAGGAGGATGGAGTTGTGTGGAGGAGGATGGAGTTGTGTGGAGGAGAATTGAGTTGTGCGGAGAAAGAATGGAGTTGTTTGGAGGAAGAATGAGTTGTGTGAAGCAGGATGGAGTTATGTGGAGGAGGATGGAGTTCAGTGGAGGAGGATGGGGTTGTGTAGAGGAGGATGGAGTTGTATGGAGGAGGATGGAGTTGTGGAGGGGGATGGAGTTGTGTGGAGGGGGATGGAGTTGTGTGGAGGGGGATGGAGTTGTGTGGAGGAGGATGGAGTTGTGTGGAGGGGGATGGAGTTATGTGGAGGAGGATGGAGTTCAGTGGAGGAGGATGGGGTTGTGTAGAGGAGAATTGAGTTGTGCGGAGAAAGAATGGAGTTGTTTGGAGGAAGAATGAGTTGTGTGAAGCAGGATGGAGTTATGTGGAGGAGGATGGAGTTCAGTGGAGGAGGATGGGGTTGTGTAGAGGAGGATGGAGTTGTGTGGAGGAGGATGGAGTTGTATGGAGGAGGATGTAGTTGTGTGGAGGGGGATGGAGTTGTGTAGAGGAGGATGGAGTTGTATGGAGGAGGATGGAGTTGTATGGAGGAGGATGGAGTTGTGTGGAGGAGGATGGAGTTGTATGGAGGAGGATGGAGTTGTATGGAGGAGGATGGAGTTGTATGGAGGAGGATGGAGTTGTTTGGAGGAGGAAGGCATTGTGTGGAGAGGGATGGAGTTGTGTGAAGGAGGATGGAGTTGTGTGGAGGGGGATGGAGTTGTGTGGAGGGGGTTGGAGTTGTGTGGAGGAGGATGGAGCTGTGTGGAGGAAGATTGAGTTGTGCGGAGAAAGAATGGAGTTGCTTGGAGGAAGAATGAGTTGTTTGAAGCAGGATGGAGTTGTGTGGAGGAGGATGGAGTTGTGTGGAGGAGAATGGAATTGTGTGGAGGAGGATGGAGTTGTGTGAAGCAGGATGGAGTTGTGTAGAGGAGGATGGAGTTGTGTGGTGGAGGATGGAATTGTGTGGAGGAGGATGGAGTTGTGTGGAGGAGGATGGAGTTGTGTGGAGGAGGATGGAATTGTGTGGAGGAGGATGGAGTTGTGTGAAGCAGGATGGAGTTGTGTGGAGGAGGATGGAGTTCAGTGGAGGAGGATGGGGTTGTGTAGAGGAGGATGGAGTTGTGTGGAGGAGGATGGATTTGTTTGGAGGAGGATGTAGTTGTGTGGAGGAGGTTGGAATTGTGTGGAGGAGGATGGAGTTGTGTGGAGGAGGATGGAGTTGTGTGGATGAGGATAGAGTTCTGTGGAGGAGGATGGAGTTGTGGAGGGGGATGGAGTTGTGTGGAGGAGGATGGAGTTGTGTGGAGGAGGATGGAGTTGTGTGGAGGAGGATGGAGTTGTGTGGAGGAGGATGGAGTTGTGTGAAGCAGGATGGAGTTGTGTGGAGGAGGATGGAGTTCAGTGGAGGAGGATGGAGTTGTGTAGAGGAGGATGGAGTTGTGTGGAGGAGGATGGATTTGTTTGGAGGAGGATGTAGTTGTGTGGAGGAGGTTGGAATTGTGTGGAGGTGGATGGAGTTGTGTGGAGGAGGATGGAGTTGTGTGGATGAGGATAGAGTTCTGTGGAGGAGGATGGAGTTGTGGAGGGGGATGGAGTTGTGTGGAGGAGGATGGAGTTGTGTCGAGGAGGATGGAATTGTGTGGAGGAGGATGGAGTTGTGTGAAGCAGGATGGAGTTGTGTGGAGGAGGATGGAGTTCAGTGGAGGAGGATGGGGTTGTGTAGAGGAGGATGGAGTTGTGTGGAGGAGGATGGATTTGTTTGGAGGAGGATGTAGTTGTGTGGAGGAGGTTGGAATTGTGTGGAGGAGGATGGAGTTGTGTGGAGGAGGATGGAGTTGTGTGGATGAGGATAGAGTTCTGTGGAGGAGGATGGAGTTGTGGAGGGGGATGGAGTTGTGTGGAGGAGGATGGAGTTGTGTGGATGAGGATAGAGTTCTGTGGAGGAGGATGGAGTTGGGGAGGGGGATGGAGTTGTGTGGAGGAGGATGGAGTTGTGTGGAGGAGGATAGAGTTCTGTGGAGGAGGATGGAGTTGTGGAGGGGGATGGAGTTGTGTGGAGGGGGATGGAGTTGTGTGGAGGAGGATGGAGTTGTGGATGGGGATGGAGTTGTGTGGAGGAGGATGGAGTTGTGGAGGGGGATGGAGTTGTGGAGGGGGATGGAGTTGTGTGGAGGGGGATCGAGTTGTGTGGAGGGGGATGGAGTTGTGTGGAGGAGGATGGAGTTGTGTGGAGGAGGATGGAGTTGTGGAGGGGGATGGAGTTGTGTGGAGGAGGATGGAGTTGTGTGGAGGAGGATGGAGTTGTGTGGAGGAGGATGGAGTTGTGGAGGGGGATGGAGTTGTGTGGAGGAGGATGGAGTTGTGTGGAGGAGGATGGAGTTGTGTGGAGGAGGATGGGGTTGTGTGGAGGAGGATGGAGTTTTGTGGAGGAGGAAGGAGTTGTGTGGAGGAGGATGGAGTTGTGTGGAGGAGGATGGAGTTGTGTGGAGGAGGATGGAGTTGTGGAGGGGGATGGAGTTGTGTGGAGGGGGATGGAGTTGTGTGGAGGAGGATGGAGTTGTGTGGAGGAGGATGGAGTTGTGTGGAGGAGGATGGAGTTGTGTGGAGGAGGATGGAGTTGTGGAGGGGGAAGGAGTTGTGTGGAGGAGGATGGAGTTGTGGAGGGGGATGGAGTTGTGTGGAGGAGGATGGAGTTGTGTGGAGGAGGATGGAGTTGTGTGGAGGAGGATGGAGTTGTGGAGGGGGAAGGAGTTGTGTGGAGGAGGATGGAGTTGTGGAGGGGGATCGAGTTGTGTGGAGGGGGATGGAGTTGTGTGGAGGAGGATGGAGTTGTGTGGAGGAGGATGGAGTTGTGGAGGGGGATGGAGTTGTGTGGAGGAGGATGGAGTTGTGTGGAGGAGGATGGAGTTGTGTGGAGGAGGATGGAGTTGTGGAGGGGGATGGAGTTGTGTGGAGGAGGATGGAGTTGTGTGGAGGAGGATGGAGTTGTGTGGAGGAGGATGGGGTTGTGTGGAGGAGGATGGAGTTGTGTGGAGGAGGATGGAGTTGTGTGGAGGAGGATGGAGTTGTGTGGAGGAGGATGGAGTTGTGTGGAGGAGGATGGAGTTGTGGAGGGGGATGGAGTTGTGTGGAGGGGGATGGAGTTGTGTGGAGGAGGATGGAGTTGTGTGGAGGAGGATGGAGTTGTGGAGGAAGATGGAGTTGTGTGGAGGAGGATGGAGTTGTGTGGAGGGGGATGGAGTTGTGTGGAGGAGGATGGAGTTGTGTGGAGGAGGATGGAGTTGTGGAGGAAGATGGAGTTGTGTGGAGGAGGATGGAGTTGTGTGGAGGAGGATGGAGTTGTGTGGAGGAGGATGGAGTTGTGTGGAGGAGGATGGAGTTGTGGAGGGGGAAGGAGTTGTGTGGAGGAGGATGGAGTTGTGGAGGGGGATGGAGTTGTGTGGAGGAGGATGGAGTTGTGTGGAGGAGGATGGAGTTGTGTGGAGGAGGATGGAGTTGTGGAGGGGGATGGAGTTGTGTGGAGGAGGATGGAGTTGTTGAGGGGGATGGAGTTGTGTGGAGGAGGATGGAGTTGTGGAGGGGGAACGAGTTGTGTGGAGGAGGATGGAGTTGTGGAGGGGGATGGAGTTGTGTGGAGGAGGATGGAGTTGTTTGGAGGAGGATGGAGTTGTGTGGAGGAGGATGGGGTTGTGTGGAGGAGGATGGAGTTGTGTGGAGGAGAATGGAGTTGTATGGAGGAGGATTGAGTAGTTTGGAGGAGGAAGGAATTGTGTGAAGGGGGATGGATCAAACCGAGAAAAAAATCATGTACGTGTACATCGTATGTACTGAAATTTATCATATCCCAAAAGATGCATTTTCTTACCAATTAAAACAAATAATTTTACTTGAGAGGCTGAATATCATGATTTTTGTTTCGATTGGCTATTTCAACGGGAATTTTATTATCTACAAAATACATTTTAGTGTGACATTTCTCCATATTTTTTTTTAGCATCTGACGTATTGTCAGCCCATTCCTCTTTATTCCCTGAACAAGATATTCGACGGGCCGGAGACATGGCAGCCAACAAATGTTGGCTTGTTAGTGACTGGTATACCTCTGCGGAAATTGAAGACCTGAATGACAAAGTGTACCTTGGTGATATTCTGGAGTTCCGCCGCCGCAGCTGGGTTGGCAGGCATCCACGTTGGGGTATATACGTTGGTAGATACCAAGATATGAAACACGTTGTCATCTATTTCAGTATTTTGGAAGGAGAAGCGCGATTAATGTCATCCTTTGCCAGTCAAAAGCCCGAGATAGGAGCTGACACAATTGGAAACGTTCTCGGCGGTTATGGCAAGGTGAGGATTAACAACTCCAGAGACAAGTACCAAAATCCTAGCGATCCCCTCTCCATCGTGGAAACAGCCAAGAAAATGCACCAAGACAAAACGCAGGATGAATACAAACTTTTCGGGAACAACTACGAGCACTTCGTGAATAATTGTCGATACAGAGATTCCCCCATCAAGCAGGTTCCTTCAACGCCGGGTACCGGGTCATTTCTGGATTACGCTGAGCCAGTAACAGGTAAGCTAGACTTGAAGACAAGTCACTAGACAGTTGTGTTTTGTTTTTTGGCAAACATACATCTACTAGGACGCCTATTATTGTGTTTATCATCACGTGCCGGATTTCTTTATGTATATAGCGACATGACTCAACATCGTTTCCATGGTGTCGAGCAGTATTCGCTCCCACCCCACCTGCTCTCTGTCCTGGATCACTATTGGATCACTTACATGTTCAAAGATCTTGCGTATCTATGGCTAGAGCCTGTTATGGCTATGTTTTAAATCGGTGTTTCGTTTTTTATGCGGTGTTTTGTGTAGAAACGAAATTAATCGCGGTGCAGGATAAGAAAACACTATGTACGTTACAATTTTATCAATTCCGTCACACAATCACCCAACTCAGTGGTCGGGCACAACCCGACCACTGTCTGGCATTGTTGTCATACATTTCCGTACGGCACGTTTCCGCGGGTTTTCTCCTAAACGGTTTTTGATAGGAGCTTGTAACTTTTAATATATATCGACCCTCATCTTAAGGGGTGCATATTACTCTGACGTCATGATGACGTCATAAGGTGTCAAATTACAAGCAATTTTAGCTGAAAAGGGGTCCAAATCACTTTCACACATAAATATTGAACAACATAACCAGTAATGCTATATTTTTGTAATCAGACCATGAATTGATAAACATTTCTTTTCGGGTACGTGAACTCACTTGACCCTTTCTTCCGGGTCAACCGGAAGGTTAAGTTAGGTGAATTCAAAATGAAGACTTTAGCCTGAAATCAAAACAAAATAAACTTGCTTCCATACGGTATACGGTAACGATAACGATAATATTTTAAATTTAATTGTGTCATTTGATACGTCGTATATCTTCGTAGCCCAAAAAACGATACCATTACAATGTTCAAAATTTATGTCCAAGTACTGTGACGTCATCAAACCAGAAGTTAGGTGTTATAGATACACACAGTTATTTTTACATATTTTCTCACGTTATTTAACTTCACAACGAACATTTCTCCACTCTGAATTAAATCAATATTCACTTCCCGTTCTTGAATAATGACGTCATCGAGCCAGAATTAATTTGTTTGTGTGCATAAAATGTTTTCTAAAATTTATCACACCGTTAAAGATGCATTTTTTTTAACAAAATAGTTGATTGCACTGGAAAAGATTTAATTTTGTGATTCTTTGTTCTTACATAAAAATATTCAAAACTCAACTCGGCAGTGTTTAATGAACAAATTGTCTGCCCGACCACTCTGTGTTTGTAAAAACAAACGCGAACCTCTAGTTGGATCTTTCTTTCTTTCTTTCTTTTCCGGACAATACTTCGCCGCGGGTTTTCTCCTAGACGGTATATGGTATGAACTTATAACTTTCAATAAAAATCGACCCTCATCCGAAGTGGTGCATGTTACTCTGACGTCATGATTACGTCATCAGGTGTCAAATTACAAGTGATTTTAGGTGGAAAAGTGACCAATTACTTTTACCAATAACTCTAGAACTAAACATTCAATGATGTTTGTTTTCTGTATTTAGATAAACCATTAATTGCGAACTCGCTTAACCCTTACTTCCGGGTCTACCGGAAGGTCAAAGTTAGGTGAATTCAAAATGAAGACGTTAGCCTGACATCGAAACAAAGCAACATTTCTTCCGAACGGTTCACGGTATGATCACAAAACCTTGCGTGAACTTGTACCATGTAACGAAGATGTTATAAATTTTGTTACGTCATCATGACGTCATCAGGATCAAACTACAAGCGATTTAAGGGCAAATTTTGACAAAATAGTTTGCGTTATATCTTTTAAACAAAAAAGAGTATCACAAAACACAAAACCGCTTGACCTTTACTTAAGTACAATAAGAACTGAATATAACCCAAAAGCGGAAGCATTTTACCACAGACACATATATTATGAGAGTGTTTATTGAGGAATGCCAGACACAAAAACAGTGTGATGACGTCATCATCCGAAAGGGCGCCCCCCCCCCCCCCACGGCACATAAAATATTGTTTCTTTTCTTTACTTTTAAAATCATACGTTCAAATTTAACCAAATCGACCCTTGATATTCTTTGATGAACCACAGATAACTTGGCAAGGTTTTAATTCATGACATCATCAGACCGGAAGTTACTTTTTATTAGAATTTGCCAACTATCATTTTTTTAAATGTAATTCTATCATTTGATCCATGTCGTATAGCTCCTATCTTAGCCGAAATAACGATACCATTACAATGTTCACATTTTGCTTCCAAATACTGTGATGTCATTAAACCGGAAGTTCTGTGTTATGAATACATACACTTATATTTTCAAAACTTTCATACGTTATTAACTTCACAAAGCTAAATCAGTAATCGCATCCCGTTTTGACAAGCCAGAAGTAACAAATGTGCACATGGAATGTTTACTGAAATTTAATTGATTGATCTGGAAAGGATTTAATTTCCTGATACTTTGTTCTTACATAAAAATATTAATAATTTAACCGGACAGTGTTTCATAAAATAATTGTTCACCCGACCATATTGCGTGTTTAACAACAAACGCGAATCTCTAGTCTAGTTACTTAAGTTATAATTATAATCGGGCGATCGGGCAGAATTGTTTGTCTTCCAAGCACTCACCACACACGAAGATGCTGCCCAATGAACAGATGCATGTCCAGCTAGCCTTGGCTCCTCCCGCTTTTAACACGTGTTTTCTCTCTCTCTCTTTTTACTTTACAGCTTTGTTTAAAGGCCTCACACTACCGTCTGCTCGTGGATTAACAAGTCAGTGACCTCTTAACATTATCAGGCATTAAAAATAACTGTTGCTTTGTGCTATATTATTCCCTCAGAGTTATAATTTTTTGGGACCACCACTGCTAGACATGAAACAAGTTGCGTCAGACTAATGCATGGGGTGTACAGGTACATACGCCAAAAGGGTCAGTGCTTTGCCAGACCTTCGTTTAAAGTGAGCAAGCACGACCAGCAGGCCACCCTCATTGGCCTCACCAATCGAAATGGTCGCTACTGGGGCTTTTATATCTTTTATATATTTAGTCTCTTATACGTCATTTTTGAGTTTGATTACGTTAAGTTCACATCATAGCCAAAAACAATTTCCTACTTTTTTTTTTTATTATTCTTCAAAACTACAGAAAACCATAAACACAAAGCTGAAGCAGGAGACACATCTATGGTTACTGGAAGCTTTTTATCAGTTATTAAGACGTCATCACACATCACACTAGAGGTATTTTAGTTGAGTCTTTATGATCAGTAAAATGGTTTGATTAAGTTAATGCATGTTTTAAATGTTGATGCGAGAACCCTTTTCAACACACTTGCATTAATGTTTAGACAAAAGTCTCGTTTATAATTGGAATGTACAGGTCCTGAAAAACAAACAAACACTAATGATGTTTATGTCTGGGTAGAAGGTTGATTACAATGAACAATGACGCGGGCCTCTCAATCGGTGTCTTTTAATGTCCATATGAAAGTCGTGCTATTTGACTAATTGGACTAATTGTGTCTTAATTAATAATCTGTGGAACTAAATGAAATACTTTTTTTTCTTTTTAGGTAACACCAGAAGAGGAAATGTTGAGCGGGAAAGGTAATAAATGATAGTTTGCACCCAGACTTATCGTGTAGTGACACATGCAGACGTAGCACGGCCTAACTTGCTTATCATTGACTATAGCTGTACGTGTTTGAACTTTCGATGACGAAATTGTTCTTAACTCTGTAACAATGAACGCACAAAGGATAGTTTTTGAAGCCTCATTTAACAATCCCCAAACCCCTCACTGCTACCGCTGATAAACAACCATTTGTTTTGAATAAGCTACGTTTAAATGTCACCGTTGAATATTTTCCAGCTTCCGTACATTTGTGTTAGATAACGTTCAAAGCCATATAGGTTTCTTGTATAATTTTAAACTGTTTTTAAATTTTAACTTGTTTATTTGTATTTCTGTGAAGCGCTGTGAGCGTCAATTGTTGACAGATTATTGCGCTGTACAAGAATTAGTTATTGTTATGATTTACTTTGACACAATTTCTTTTTTTCCCACACCTTTTAGAAAGCTAAGAAGACACACGTCCAGCTTACCTTGCTTCCTTTCATTTTTTGACGTGTTTTCCTTTCTCTTTTGTTACTTTACTGATTGGCTTAGCCTCGCACGACTGTCATCCGTGAATTCGCAAGTCTGTACCCTCTCAAAGATATCAAATTAATCATAATGCCTTCGTTTTCTGACTCCTTAGGGACTGAGCCATAACATAAGCACGCGGAGGGGAGGGGGCATTGTGTGAACCCCTTCCCCACAGATGGGCCATTTTTAAAAGTGTGTGCATGTGTGTGTGTGGGGGGGGGGGTGCGTACACAATCTAGCCGTAATAGATAATCTCAGTGCGGCTTGTTGCATTGAAAATAATGAGAACGTGAGCAGGTAGAACCTTGCATTTGAAATGAAAACGTATTCTTCCCCTTTCCTGTTTCAAATGTTGTACCTAAAAGGGGGCACAGCTGACATGTAAACAAAGACGAAGAATCTAACAAAAATCTTGATTTTGAACACATGACGTTAACGAACATGGTCAGCTCGTTAATGTTGCTAAGAAGTGCTCGATATGAAAAAAAAGAATGGTCATTGCAGTTCTGTTTAATAATTTTAGTGAAAAGGACTAATTGTATGCGCTTCTTATCAACCATTTTTGTTACAAAACAATAGCCGTGCGTCCTCTCGCATAGAAGCGAAGTATATTTTGGAATTTTCCTTTTTAATTTAACGCTTGGAGTGCTAAAGCTTTAGAAAGAAACTGGCAAGAGTTTGGATTGATGGCGTGGTGTTAGTAAATTATGTTTGAGTTTCTGCTGATTAAATAAAATACTATAGCAGAAAACTGAGGTTTGTTTCAGATCCAACTGGAATGATTTATGTGCACAATATAGAAATGGTGTCCCACATATGGGGGGGGGGAGGCAAGG